AAATTGAACCCCTAGAAGTCTAGTTTCCAATGGTGTTAGCCTCACATCTAAATTCTACTGAAGGTTGCTTAGTTTTGGTCTTAATCAGATTGATGCCTAACTTCAAACAGCCATATCTCCCTCATCCAGACTCAGCTTTAGGAGATTCTTCAGCCTAAAATGAAGCCCCGGAAGTCCAATTTCCAATGGTGGTGGCCTCACAACTAAATTCTAAGTGTACAAAGAGATAGGTCTAATTTGGTGAAGGCTGCTTAGTTCTCTCTTAACGGTTTCAAGCCCAACTTCTTCCCTAACTAGTTTTCTTCGCTCCACTCCTATTTTCTTCAACTCCAAACCTATAAATAAAAGGTTTAAAAGATTTTTTTCAAAGAGTTCACCTCTCTTCCATTTATTTGCACTTTGTCCTTGCTCAATTTACGAAAAAAGTGTAATTTTTAAACAAAATGCGAGCCTCAAAATATCATAGAAACATTTTCATAAGTATTTTGAAAGAGAGGTTTTAAGGTCTAAAATAATTTTGGTCCAAAACGGGGTGTAAGGTTAGCATTTAGAAGCTCTTCTTGCTTAAGAAATCAAACATTTGCACAACATCACTTTTATCATCGAGTGATCAATCAATGGCGCCCAAGTCTTAAGGGCGGTCAAAAATGGGGTGTCCACAGAGATCATGTGGAACTTATGAGGGCAAGAGAGGAGATGATGAAACGAGTCGAAGAAGAAAAAAAATCATGGGACGCACAACAAGTACAACTCAATCATTTGAACGTCGTGGTATCACGGCTCATAACCCTCTTGCAGGGTTTAGATGGCCATTCTACTATTCGGTAAGAAGAATTTTATTGATATGTTAGTAAATGTTCTACAAAAAATGGATCATATTGACATTATTGTGTACGATGAACCTAGAATCGTTTTCTAAAGCTCCTACTCAAAACCTATTAGAGCGTTGGTTTTGTTTGTTTGTTTTTTTTTTTTTGTTTGTGCTTCTGTAATAACCCGACCCTCGTACATGTTTTCTAATATATTTTCAGACCCTATTCTGTGTTTTTGAATGCTTGTTATGAAATTCCATGAGAAATTGAGGCTAAGTAAGTAAACCCCATGCTTAAAGATATCCATCTGTTCAACAAGGGAAAATATCGGTTACATTATCGGTTACATCTCTAAGTTAGAAGCATAAATTGGAAGCCTTAGGGGCTTAATTATCTGAAATTGATTATATATATATATATGATCAGCATAATTTTCATGTAATATTAAGCATATTTGGGAAATTTCAATTTCGGGTGTTTGAACGATTGATTTTTGTCTTTATTCAATATATGTATATATATATATATATGTATGTCTATGAGAAGCCTCTTTGAAGAAGACTTAGGAATTTCTCATAAAACCCCCTTGGGAGACAATTGAAGGGGAGAGCGGAACAAGGAAGGATTGAGTGAGAGAAGACCTAGAGGGGAAACTTCAACAAGATTAGAGATTGAATAATCTAGAGAGAATTGGAAAGATCAAGCTCAGAAGTAAGTTCTTTAGCTTCTCTAATTCCTCTCTTGAATTTGAGTATGATTCCATCATAACTGTACAACCTGGACTTGGAACATGCTTTTAAATTAGATGATTTTGAACTAAGTTGTCTATGCATATATGTGGAGAAATTATCTTTTATTTCTCATGAGAATTATGAAGAACTCACCATGTATATATATATGTGATATTGAATGCATAAGAAAGTTTAGTTATGTTTGAGAATCAAGAATCTAGTTTATGTCTAGATTGATATGTATGTATTTGGAGATCCTATTAACATGAGTTTTAGGTTATGTTTTATTGATTAAACATGTTAATTTGAGCCTTGTGGAATTGTCCCAAAAGAGTGTGATTTTGAAGCAAAATTCGGACTGAAATTGCAAAATCGCCGCACGTGCGGGAGCCAGACGCCGCACGTGCGGGGGTTGTGGCCGCACGTGCGGGAGAAGAACAAATTTGGGGTTTTGATTCTGCCTAAAAGGCACGTGCGGGACCAGCCGCCGCACGTGTCGGGATCCCAGCCGCACGTGCGGCACATGTGGGAAAATACGGGTTTCTCCATTTTGCGTGCTGAACCCTCGGATATTTTTAGAATTTGCATTTTATGCATATTAACATGTGTAAAATTCATTCGAAGTGAATTGAACCAAGAGAGGATTTAACAAAGAGAAGTGAACTAATTTGAAAGTTTGAATGTGTGCAGGGCACACTACAGGAGGAAGAAGCACGTCACCACAACACTGTGAGTAGTAGTACCATTATATGCTTCAAATGTAGCTAGTGATTGTCATAAGTATTATGTTTATGCCTGAAATGCAAGTATGCTATGTTTCAATGTATGTAAAGAAAGAAATGGGAAAAATGAGAAACGTTCATTCAGTAAGACTCTGAAGCCAAGTCATTCTATTATTATAATATGAAACAAAGTGCTACACGGATCTAAGTGCTACGATGTGAGTCACCTCTAGAGTCCGTGTGAGACACCTCTTGAGTTCATACAAGCATGATTCAAGGGCTTAATGTGTAACGCCCACAAAATAACAACAATAAACCCATCAGATAATACATGCATTTACATATAAACTAACCACATTCCTTTATTCCTTAGAGTTTCATTACATAAGTATTACAAGTTAACATCATAACAAAATGCCCTATAGGCTTACAGCTTTCCAAGTCAACCCTTGGTTACAAGAAAAGAGTACTAACTCGTTTACACATTAAGCCCTAGGCTTGAAGTTACATGTAATACATCAAAAGTTAAGCAACAAAAGTATGTTCGCCACTAGCCTCCCAGCTATGTCCTTGGAGGTGGCATGCTTCCTGCACCTGAAAATGATATTCCCATATAGGGTGAGCCACAGCCCAGTAGAAATACACTAAACCAACCATGGACAATGACTAAAATATTAGCAATTGATAGATGGTCAACACTGAAATATCCACATAAATCACATATTTATGTCATACAACTTATGAGTCCAAGTTACCTTTCATTTTCCCCTTTTCAACAGATAAGCATGCTAGCTCTATCATCATTTCCACAGACATGTATAAAAACTATGGGCTCGTTTGGTTTGATTTTCTGAAAAAAATTTGGGAAATTTTCTATACAAATAAGTTTTCAAAAATAACCAAACCAAACAAATTTTCCCAAAAAAATTTCCCAAAACTTGTAAACCAAACAAGTTTTCCAAACAAATCTCTCTCTCACACACATAAAATCAATCACTTTTTCCAAAACTCTATCTCAAAATAATTTTCCAAAACATCTTTTAAAAAAAACCAAACCAAACCAAACATGTTTTCGTACTTTTTATCTCTAAAACACATCTCTCAAACACAAACCAAACATACCCTATATCTCACATTCAGATAAGCATATAAGCTATATCCACATTCTCAACAGATATGTATAACCACAATATCCACAGATAAGCATATGAGCTATATCCACACATCACAAAGATAAGCATATAAGCTCTATCTTCACTTCTAGACAAGCATATGAGCTGTATCTACGGAGTTCATCCCCTATCTTCTCCCAACACTAACCGGTTTAGAGGTACATCCCCTATCTTCCCCTAAACCGCGGAGTACATCCCCTATCTCCTCCTCTACACATAACGTATATAAACACATTGGTTCTATATACAATCACCCAATACATACAGTTAATGTATTCTTTCAATTGTCAAGTTCCATGACACATTTCATTGATTAGTTTCAGTTTGCCTAATCATCATGCATTGTCTACAACAATCACGACTATCCTCCACCGATAGCCCAAAGCAGTTATTTCTAAACAGAAAGTAAATGCAGAATGGATATTCAATCAACATTTCATTTCTTCATTGTTCTCAATTAATTATCCCAATTAATTAAACAATATAATTAGGTCAATTCCCATTATTAACATTTCAACCCTTAGGTCCCATTTTCATCAATGATTCAACAATCATTCCATACGGATTCAGACCAACTATGTGTGTATCTTTTTATGCTTTGATGTATTATATTTGAAGTAAAGCATTGTTTTATTTATGTATTACTATTCACTGAGCTTGGCTCACTCTGTGTTATGTCTGTTTTTGTAGGTAACCAACCAAGTGGTCAGTCCTAGCCATGCCACCGTTTTCTTTTGTCAACCTCTGTGGGTCCTGGCACTGCACGAAGCCATTTATTTATGTAAAGTCTGTTAAGATGTTTGCTTATTTTTGATTACCCAATTGAGGTTGAATGTATAGAACTTCAATGATTTTTGTATAAGCCCATGGTGGGGCTGGAACTGTATGTATGTTTTTATATAACCGATGTTGCGAGATATAGTTTGGAACCTTATCTATTTTCTGTGGTGCATGTGATGCATATGAGGTCCTGGCATGTAGATGTAGCTCAATGGAGATTATATGTATTGTTATTTTCTTACTATATGCTTCCGATAAGGCCCCGTATGTTATATACAACAGGCTAAATGTTTGTTTTCGAATGGGTCATGCCCAAACTTTTAGGGGTGGGTTTGAGGACGTGACAAGTGGTATCAGAGCACGAGTTGCTATCTCACACATGAACCCATTGAGCTTTAGGGTGTCTAGAAAACATTTGGGCATTATGCATGACACCCTGAAAGTAAATGAAAAGTCGATGGCAACGTTATATGAACTCTGGTAATGCTAACAATTTGGAATTATGTTTATTGGATATAATTGGTTGTTGTGTAGGCTATGGTGAGGACAAGGACAGAAGATGTGGAAGATGCTACTTCGGCACGGCTGGATAGGATGGAGAGAATGATCATGGAAATGGCGGAAACATTATGGCAACAACAGCAACAGCCCCAACAACAACCGCCACCATAACCGATACCTCCACCTGTAGTACACGACTTTCATGTTGAAGACCGGACCATTACCGTCACTAAGGAGTTTAAAAAGATGAAGCCGCCATCCTTCAAAGGATGAATAGAGCCAATGAAAGCAAAGGCATGGGTGTTGGGAATAGAGAAGTTATTTGAAGTTTTTCCTTGCACCGAAGCTCAAAAGGTGCAACTGGCTGCCTTTACTCTTGAAGACGAGGCGCGGAGGTGGTGGATGCTTACAAGAACTATGCATCAAGGGTTAACATGGGAGAGGTTCTTGGAATTGTTTTATGATAAGTACTTCCCTCAAAGTATACGAGATAAGAAGGTAACTGAATTTGAGACTCTCCGACAAGGGAATAAGACCGTTGCTGAGTATGAAGCCCAATTTACGGAACTAGCCCGGTTCGCGCCTCATATGGTAGACACGGGTTATAAGAAGGCACGGAAGTTTGAAGGGGGACTACGGGGTACTATTCTGGACAAGATCAATATGCTGAAACTATCCACTTATGTCGATGTGTTGGAGAGGGCGGTCATAGCAGAAGGAAACCTCGCTAGTCAGAACCGAATCTCTGAATGGAAAGGAAAGAGACAGAATATCCAATGGTCAAAGGGGACAATTACTCCACCAAACAAGAAACAAAATTCAGGGACTTCGACTACGTCTACCCCCAGTTAAGGTTCAATTCCCATATGTTCAGAGTGCGGAAAGAGGCATTGTGAGCAGTGCTATCGGGGGTCTGGAGCCTGCTTTCACTGTGGAAAAATAGGTCATGTGATAAGGGATTGCTCTCAGAGGACAGCAACAAAATGGCAATAGAACTGCTACCAGTTCAGCGGGGTCGACACCAACCACCAACACCAAGGCACCGGTCAAATCTACTAACAATAAAGATACTGCAAGGCAAGGCAGGGTGTTTGCTTTGATCCCGGGAGATGTACAAAATGCTGCAACGGTAGTGTCAGGTACATTTATGGTTCATGGTCACTCTGCTTGTGTGTTACTTGATTCCGGCTCTACGCATTCTTTTGTGTCGAAACTATTTGCTCCTAATTTAAATAAAACTGAAGAAAAACTGTCTTATGTGTTATGCGTATCTTTACCTTTGGGAGACCCTATAATTTGTGCTTCTGTGTATGTTGCTTGTGAACTCCAACTTGAGGATATCCGGGTATATGCCAATCTGTTACCTCTTGATATGGCCTATTTTGATATTATTCTGGGAATGGACTGATTGGGTGAATATGGCGCAACTATAGATTGTTCGACTAAACAAATTAGTTTCCACCCTCGGGGACAATCAGAATCTACCTTTCAGGGGCATGGAGTGACTTCTCCACCTTACTTGATTTCTGCAGCAAAGGCTTGTAAATTAATTCAGAAAGGGTGTCAGGGGTATTTATGTAGTGTGTTAGAGGGACAAGTGGTGAATGGGAATACCGACATGATCCCTTTTGTCTGTGAATTTCCGGACGTCTTTCCAAAAGAATTACCAGGGCAGCTAATAGACCGTGAAATTGAGTTTACAATTGAAGAAGCACCAGGAACTCAACCCATTTCTAAGACTCCGTATAGAATGTCACCAGTTGAGATGAAGGAATTAAAAATCCAATTGCAAGATTTACTGGACAAGGGATTTATCCGTCCAAGTGTGTCTCCGTGGGGTGCACCAGTTTTGTTTGTAAAAAAGAAGGATGGGACACTCCGGCTTTGCATCAATTACAGGGAACTTAATAAAGTAACAATCAAGAATAAATACCCGTTGCCAAGGATTGATGACTTATTTGATCAACTACAAGGGGCTCAAGTCTTTTCGAAGATCGATTTACGATCTGGATACCATCAATTAAAGGTTAAAGCTGATGACGTTGAGAAGACAACTTTTCGAACCTGGTACGGTCATTATGAGTTTCTGGTTATGCCCTTTGGAGTTACGAACGCCCCAGCACCCTTTATGGATTTGATGAACCACGTCTTTAAGCCCTATTTGGATGAATTTGTAGTAGTCTTTATTGATGATATTTTCATTTATTCGAAGAATGCAGAAGCTCACGAGAATCATCTTCGGTTGATCCTTCAAACCCTCCGGGAAAAGAAATTGTATGTAAAGCTGAAGAAATGTGAATTTTGGCAACGAGAAGTGGAATTTCTAGGGCATGTTATCACAAAAGAAGGAGTTTCTGTTGATCCACATAAGATTGAGGCGATCGTGAATTGGCCAACTCCCACTAATGTGACTGAAGTACGTAGCTTTATGGGGTTAGCCGGCTATTCCAGACGGTTTGTTCAAGATTTGTCCAAATTTGCCGTGCCACTTACACAACTGACTCGAAAGGGAGTTGCATTTGAATGGTCAGAAGAGCAGGAATTTGCCTTCCAGGAATTGAAGACGAGGTTAACACAGCTCCAGTTCTGGCTTTACCATCTGGTACCGAAAGGTTTGTAATTTACAATGATGCGTCCCATAAAGGATTAGGGTGTGTGCTTATGCAAGGTGGAAGGGTTATCGCCTATGCTTCACAACAACTTAAACCCCATGAAAAGAATAATCCTAGGCATGATCTTGAGCTCGCGGCGGTAGTTTTTGCTTTAAAGATATGGCGACACTATTTGTGTGGCACTACTTGTGAAGTGTACACCGACCACAAAAGTCTCAAATACCTTTTTACTCAAAAAGAGTTGAATATGCGGCAACGAAGGTGGTTAGAACTTATTAAAGATTATGATTTGCAGATCCATTACCATCCTGGCAAAGCCAACACAGTTGCGGATGCGCTGAGTCAGAAAAGTGTGGGGATTTTAGCAAATTTGGTTGCAGGGCAAAAGGAATTAGCAAATGAATTGGCCAAAATGGACGTGGATCTCTTATTACATGGACAAGAAGCTTTAGTGATAGCCATAAGAGCCCAACCAGCCTTAATTGAGGAGATTAAATTGCAACAGATGGAACATGCTACTTTAAGGAAGATAAGTGATGAGTTAGGAACCAAGTTGAGGCCAGGGTTTAGTTTGGTAGACACGGTGCTCAAGTTTCAAAACCGAATATGTGTTCCCAATGTGTTGAACCTTAAACAAAAACTGATGGAAGAAGCACACACTTCTAGATTTGCAATACATCGAGGGAGTACCAAAATGTACCGAGATTTGAAACAAAATTTTTGGTGGCCAAGTATGAAGAAAGAGATCACGGAGTTCGTCTCTAAATGTTTGCAATGTCAGCAAGTGAAAGCGGAGCATCAAAGGCCAGCAGGGTTACTACAGCCCCTTCGAATCCCAGAATGGAAGTGGGAACATTTGACCATGGATTTCGTCGTGGGGTTACCACGGACTCCTCGAGGCATGAATTCAATATGGGTCATTGTAGACAGGTTAACTAAGTCCGCTCATTTTCTAGCAGTGAAAACTCAATACAATGCGGATAAACTGGCGGTACTCTATGTGAACGAAATTGTGAGGCTTCATGGCGTTCCAGTCTCAATTGTATCAGATAGAGATCCAAAGTTTGTTTCCAGATTCTGACAAAGTTTACAAGAAGTAATGGGTACAGAATTAAAGTTCAGCACGACTTTTCATCCTCAGACTGACGGGCAATCTAAGAGAACGATACAGACTCTAGAGGATATGCTCCGAATGTGTGTGTTAGATTTTCAAGAAAGTTAGGAACCCACCTGCCGTTGGTAGAGTTCGCATACAACAATAGTTACCACTCAAGTATTGAAATGGCACCCTATGAAGCTCTGTATGGAAGGCCATGTCGTTCTCCCGTATGTTGGGCTGAAGTTGGAGATAAATCTTTACTCGGACCTAAATTGTTCAGTTGACCACTGAAAAGGTTAAAATTATTCGGGAGAGATTGAAAACTGCTCAAAGTAGACAGAAAAGTTATGCAGACAACCGACGGAGGGACTTAGAATTTAGAGCAGATGATCATGTCTTTATAAAGGTCACTCCAATGAAAGGCCACCCAAGGTTTGGAAAAAGAGGTAAGTTGACACCCCGTTATGTTGGTCCCTTCCAAATTCTGGAAAGAGTAGGTCCAGTAGCTTACCGAGTTTCTCTCCCGCCAAATATGAGTCAAGTGCATAACGTGTTTCATGTCTCTATGCTTCGCGGATATCTTCCAGATCCGTCACATGTTATTGACTACCATCAAATTGAGTTGGATGACAAGTTCATGTATGAGGAAAACCGATCCGCATTTTGGACCGACAAGTGAAACAACTACGACATCGAGAAATTCCAATGGTAAAAGTGGAGTGGCAAGAACATTACAAAACTGACGAAACTTGGGAAAAAAGAGGAGGAAATGCAACATCAGTATCCGCATTTGTTTCTATCCTAAGGTAAAACAAGTTTGAGGGACCAAACTTATTTAAGGGGGGGAGAGTGTAATAACCCGACCCTCGTACATGTTTTCTAATATATTTTCAGACCCTATTCTGTGTTTTTGAATGCTTGTTATGAAATTCCATGAGAAATTGAGGCTAAGTAAGTAAACCCCATGTTTAAGGATATCCATCTGTTCAACAAAGGAAAATATCTGTTACATCTCTAAGTTAGAAGCAGAAATTGGAAGCCTTAGGGGCTTAATTATCTGAAATTGATTATATATATATGATCAGCATAATTTTTATGTAATATTAAGCATGTTTGGGAAATTTCAATTTCGGGAGTTTGAACGATTGATTTTTGTCTTTATTCAATATATGTATATATATATGTCTATGAGAAGCCTCTTTGAAGAAGACTTAGGAATTTCTCATAAAACCCCCTTGGGAGACAAGTGAAGGGGAGAATGGAACAAGGAAGGATTGAGTGAGAGAAGACCTAGAGGGAAAACTTCAACAAGATTAGAGATTGAATAATCTAGAGAGAATTGGAAAGATCTAAGCTCAGAAGTAAGTTCTTCAGCTTCTCTAACTCCTCTCTTGAATTTGAGTATGATTCCATCATAACTGTACAACCTGGACTTGGAACATGCTTTTAAATTAGATGATTATCTTTTGTTTCTCCTGAGAATTATGAAGAACTCACCATGTATATATATGTGATATTGAATGCATAAGAAAGTTTAGTTATGTTTGAGAATCAAGAATCTAGTTTATGTCTAGATTGATATGTATGTATTTGGAGATCCTATTAACATGAGTTTTAGGTTATGTTTTATTGATTAAACATGTTAATTTGAGCCTTGTGGAAGTGTCCCAAAAGAGTGTGATTTTGAAGCAAAATTCGGACTGAAATTGCAGAATCGCCGCACGTGCGGGATTCATGGCCGCACGTGCGGGAGCCAGCCGCCGCACGTGCGGGGGTTGTGGCCGCACGTGTGGGAGCAGAACAAATTTAGGGTTTTGATTCTGCCTAAAAGGCACGTACGGGACCAGCCGCCTCACGTGCGGGGATCCCAGCTGCACGTGCAGCACATGTGGGAAAATACAGGTTTCTCCATTTTGCGTGCTGAACCCTCGGATATTTTTAGAATTTGCATTTTATGCATATTAACATGTGTAAAATTCATTCGAAGTGAATTGAACCAAGAGAGGATTTAACAAAGAGAAGTGAACTAATTTGTAAGTTTGAATGTGTGCAGGGCACACTATGGGAGGAAGAAGCACGTCATCACAACACTGTGAGTAGTAGTACCATTATATGCTTCAAATGTAGCTAGTGATTGTCATAAGTATTATGTTTATGCCTGAAATGCAAGTATGCTATGTTTCAATGTATGTAAAGAAAGAAATGGCAAAAATGAGAAACGTCCATTCAATAAGACTTTGAAGCCAAGTTGTTCTATTATTATAATATGAAACAAAGTGCTACACGGAACTAAGTGCTACGATGTGAGTCACCTCTAGAGTCCGTGTGAGACACCTCTTGAGTTCATACAAGCATGATTCAAGGGCTTAATGCCACATGATTCAAGGGCTTAACGCCAATTTACTCAAGGGCTTATTGCCAACTTTTGTAAGGGCCTCGTGCCACTATGTTCAAGGGCTTAACGCCACCATGTTTAAGGGCTTTTTGCCATTACGTTTAAAGGCTTATAGCCATCATGTTTGAAGATATCATGTTGCAGGCTACCATGTTTCAAGAATGAGCCAAGACCGTCATGGAATTAATACGGATTCAGACCAACTATGTGTGTATCTTTTTATGCTTTGATGTATTATATTTCAAGTCAAGCATTGTTTTATTAATGTATTACTATTCATTGAGTGTAGACGTCCTTGAACG